CCCTTCCTCTCTGAAACCAATAAAAACATATTTTAAAAAAGTAGAGAAACACTTGAGGACACTTTCCCTCTCAAACCTGGGGCCGCCCAACACCACTCCTTCTCCAGGGCATATTATGTAAATAGAGGTCAGAATTTGAAAAGTGAAAACCATATGAAGAACCACATAATGCAAAATTTCTTCGCTGCCACCCTTTTCTGCTTCTTTTTCTTGTAAGGATCCCATAGTCACTGTTATTTTATGACTTCTGACATTAATTCCCTTTTTAAGGGAGGGGAGAAATTGGATTACATTTCTTGAATGCCCATTGTGCCAGAGACATTACGTCTATCATTTCATCTGAGAGCCACAGCAATGTTACAGATGAAGAATGAGAGATACAGAAGATATGCGACTTATGACCCATGGTGACACAGCCAAGGACATGCATGTCCTCTATAATAAATCACTCTTTCACACAAGCCCTTGCCCAGTCACCTTAGGGAAACCTCTCTCTGGGCTTATTGCTTTCAGTCCCTTTTTTAACCGAATAAAAACAAAACAAAACAAAACAAAAAACAAAACAAAAGCACTATAAGAGTAGGACTTGTGATATACTTGAAACCAAAAGAAAGCTATAGTTAGGGAGGGAAACCTATACCTAAAAACTTCTGACCTTGAAAGTTAGTTCGGAATCTTTCTGAAACAACCATTATATCTACTCTTCAACCAAATAAGTCAGTTTGTCCTCAGGCTCCGACATTTGAGATAAATAAAACACTCTCTAATTTAATGCTACTTTGATGAGTTGCATTGCGACAGTATTTTCGACAACATTTTATTCTTCCCTAAGGTCTTAGATCTTCGTAGAGCAGACTAGTAACGCAAAGCACCATTTACAACTTTATTTCTATGGAGAGAAATGTTCTCAAAGTTCCAAAGAGCCGGTGCATAAATACTTTGTGGGACAAACTGTCTTTAGGTTGGGGACTGCCAATATTTATGAAATGAATGTCCAAAACAAAACAGATCTTTCAAGCAGAGACAGAGGGGACTGATTAATTCAGCCTCTCACTCAGCCCCTCTCCCTGCAAAACACACACAGACACACACACACACACACACACACACACACACACACACACACACGATTGGAGTTCTAAAACAATAATATGCTACTTAGGCAGTTCCAAAGTAAATGAAGAGGTAGGGGTAGAGAATCAGAGATATGACTGTAACCCCTCATATGACCACAAATACTATTGATAGTTTATTTTAAAACGTTGGTTAAGTCCCATCTTAATAAACTTCATATAAAATTCAGAGTTGCCCACTGAAGTATTGAAATGTCAAGATTAGTGTTCAAAATGAACTATTTTTTTGCATGTTTCATTTTGGTGTTTTTAAAATAAAAGCAATAACCTACTCTGACCCTGAATGGAATTTGAAGACAATTAGAAAATCAGCTATAGGAAGACTTTAACAGAAATCTAATTTGTTAGAGAATTTCAGTAGTTAATTATTACACATATATGTTAAATGTTACTTTTATTAGATTACTTTTTATTTTTAAATTAAAAAAGAGTTTGAAAAGGATTCTCCCATAAACTTCCACCTAGTACCTTCTAGAAAATCCCTACTAAGAAATAATTTTGCACTTTAATGTTTGAGAACTTATGTTTCTAAAAATATTCATTCACCAGTTTTTATGAAAATATTATCATTTTTCCATCTGTAACCCTATTTATAATTATGACTGTATTTAATTTTATGCATGTTAATGTAAAAGTTAAAAATACTCTTTGTTAAATGTAATTTTAAAATCAGAGAAATCTAAGCAGGCAAACAAATTAGGGATTTCTTTATATTTTGGGGGGATATCTCTAACTAAAGTCAGATATTTAAAAGTTACTTGATCCTAAAGATTTTATCTTGAAACTCAAAAACTTACAAATTTCCAAGGAAAGATACAGAGCTAAAAATAATTGGAAAAGGAAAAAGTAAGAATTAAGTTTGCAAGTAAACTTGCCAAAGGTACAAAGGAGTCATACTTCAGGACTGGCTGGCCAAATAAGAAAACACAGCAAGCATTTAAACTAAAAACCACACAAAATTACTAAGGTTGCTAAGTTTACATTAGACTATTCATAATGAGAAAACACTAACTTCACCCCAGTCATGTATTCACAAAAATCACGACAGATCTTCAAGGAGCTATGGTGGCGGAGACACTAGATTTACAGATAATAGTCAAGTTTTTATTATTTGGAGACTAGAATCAGTCAGCTTTATTTTTGCTTTATCTCAGGACACAAAGCACTATTTTTTTAACTGTAGAATGTGAAGTGTTTATGGTATTGAAATCAGGGTAAAATGTGATATTTTGTTTCAAAATACACATTTTTATTTATCAACCTCTCTGTACTCCTCCCTTACTATGAATACACAGCACTTTCCATGGTTAAAGGGTTTTACATGGTTAATTTAGTTGGTATGTCTCTTCAAATACCCTCTGTGAATTTTTTTAACTTCACGTAGCCCAAATACCAGCACTCCCACATATTTTTCATCCTACTTAACACAGATGGGCATCCTTCAATCCATATGCCATAATCAACCACTAATGCTAACTTCTTGTTTAACAAATATTAAAGCCAGGCTATACTCATAATAAGCCTCGGTTTATAAGAAATACAGGTAAAAAGAAAGCAATCTTGGAATAAGCTTCATAAAGATGAATAGAAATAAGCAGAGCAGTCACTTTAAAATAGTTAAACACAACGCAGAGAAATCAAATTTAAGGGGTTTTGCCCCATCACCCCCCCCCCCTTTTCCCCATTGATTCTAGAGAGGGAGGAGGGGGCAGAGAGAGAGAGAAACATCAATGTGAGAGACACATCTATGGGCTCCCTCCAGCACAACACCAGCCTCTGGTGCGTGGGATGATACTCTAACTAACCCAGCCACACTGGCCGGGGCAAATTTAAAGTTTTTAGGGGGAAAATCATCTTTCAACTATAGGTGATGGTTTAAATGTCCAAACTGGTTTGATATTACAATTAGGTTTGTAACCTCTCATTGCCATTTTAAGATGCACCTAAAAGTAGATCTTAGGCATGGAACAGACTGACATATCTTGATGTGGGGGTGGGGGGATGAGGAGAGATAAACCAAAGAACTTACATATTCATATGCATAGCCCATGGACACAGACAATAGGGTGGTGAAGACCTGGGGGCGGTGGGTAGGGGGGGTTGAGAGGGGTAAAGGGGGAAAAATGGGAAACATCTGTAAAACTGTCAACAACAAAAATATTGAAAATAAAACAAACAAACAAAAACGTAGATCTTATTGCTTTCCTAGAATACTTAGTAATATTTATTATAAGTCAAAGTGTCTAAATGTTTTTGTGGCTATAAGAAATAATTCCAATCTTAAAACAAATAGATAAAATAATAAATCATTCTGGAAGAGATTGATTTTTAGGGTAATTAACCCTACCTGTTATCTATCTTTCCATGAGGTAACTCAATTTTAAGGCTGATGTTGAAAACAATACTATTTCACAAGGATTCAAACTTTTCAATCTATCCACAGCTTTGAAAGAAAAACTACCATTCCATCATTTTTTAAAAAATAAATCATTACTTTCTTTTCAATCCTCCTAAAGTTTGTCACCTTGCTTGGATATGCTGCACTCTTCTGGGCATAGAATTTCATAGCAGTTATCAAAATAACCAAGCCATGAAGTTGGTTTTATCAAACAATAATTTCCTATCAACAGAAACGTTGGATGTATGACTCATTCCACACAAAGCAAATATTCAACAAATAATGATGGTTAAAATGAATACTTAAATTAAAAGTGTCATAATAATTTTTGTGTTTACTCTTATATTTTCTCATCGCCTACCCACTGTATTGTGGGCACTTTCCTGAAAGGGGCCAGCTGTTTGCTTTGTTTTAAGACAACAAGCAGACACAGAGCTCAAATCACGTTCCAGAGAAGGGCAAGGGGTAGGATGAGGCTGCTAAGAACCAGCTTTCAGAAACGGGAAATCAGTCAACTTTTTCCTCTCGGATAACCCTTTATTTGCAGAGCAGCGGGGGAATTACGAACACAGTTTGGAAAACAATACTGTGTTGAAAACAGTCTCTTTAGGACCAAGTCCTTACTTCCATGGAAGTAGTCAAATCCAAGAGTTAATTTCAACACAATGTTCAAATTTATTACTTGAAGCTCTGGCAACAGAAAACTGTCTTCTTTAAATGGAAAATGTGACAACTTTTATGAGGTAAATGCATTGGAAAGTGGGAGTGGGTGGGAGAGGCACACGCTTTTTTTTTTTTTTTTTTTTTTTTTTTTTGTAAGGGGGAGAGGATGCATGGGAAGAATCCTAAGCAACCACAACACCCAGAGCGGTAACGATGGTAGACCGGGCTGCTCGAAGGCTCTCGGATCCCAGCTGCTCACCCAGGGACTTTTGGATTCATTGCTACGGGGCATCGGCGGAACCCCTGCCTTGGGTAAAAAGCGGGTATTTGTGGAAAAGACGCGCTTCCATAGGACCCAGTGCCCGCGATTCCCCTGGAGACCCTGCCCTGGCCGGCGGCCCCCCGGGGCGAGCCCCACTGGACTCTGCACGGGTCCGAGGTGCACCCGGGAGGTCCCGCGTCAGCCCAGGAACCGCTTGGACGACTCGGGACCCACCATCACCCGGGCCCGAGGCCAGCGCAGGATGCGCTCCCCGAGCCCCGCCCGCCGCCTGGCTCCACCGGCCTCCGCCGCGGGTCCCCACTCCCTCCCCAGCGCCGCTCCCGCCGGCCGCGCGCCTCGGGGACCCGGGACCTCCCGCCGCCCCCCGGCCGGGCCCCCGCGAGGCAGCGCTTCCCGTAAACTCCCTGCCCCGCCCGGCCCCCTCCCCGCCTCCGCCCCGCCCCCGAGGGCCCCTGAGCGGCGCGCGATTGGCCCGGCCGCGCCATCACTCTGCGGCCGCGGCCCCGCCCCCGTTTCCGACCGCCCGGGAGCGGGGCAGTGGTGTCAGTGCTCGCGGGGCCGCGGCGGAGGGCAGCGTGCGGCACGGCGCGCTCCCCGTCGCCCGCTGGTCGGCGCACGAGCTAGCGGAGCGGCGATCGGGGCGGCTGGCGGCCGGGCTGCCAGCTCCGCCGCCGCCTGGGAAGCAGAGGCAGCTGGTCCCCGTCCAAGATGCGCAGGGGGCGAACTTGACGAGTCCCCCACCCACGCGGCGCGCTTCCTGCCCCCAGGGGCGCTCCCCTCTCCAGGCGGTGCCCGCACGCGACCCTGCTCCAGGTGTGCGCGGGACGCCTCACCCCCCTGGGGACCCGCAAACTTCACCCCAAGTCCAGCGACTGGACTTGGAGGGCGGTGCCCTGAGTCCGACTCGCGAATCCGCGCCGGGGGAGCTGTCCCGGGGGCTCCCCCGGCCGTCGGAGGGCGGGGACCCGCTGGAAACTTTATCGCCAGCCTAGTAATTGCTGCGTTTTGCTGCTTCTCTCCCGCAGGGGCTGCAGCCAGCTGTCTGCCGCGCTTGCTGGTTTGCCAAAGGAGCCGCCCCGGGAAGAAGACCCGGAGGGGAGTTGTTTGCCCGGGGGCTACCTGCCGCCGAGCCCCGGGGTTGGGGCGGCCTGGATGCGCAGGACCCGGCCCCGCAGCCGCTGACGCCGGGCGGCGGCGAAGTTTGGCTGCTGAGCGGCGGGGCGCAGGGTCACCCGACAGCGGGCAGCCCGGCGGCCGCGGGGGGAGCGATGCCGGTGGGGGGCCTGTTGCCTCTCTTCGGCAGCCCCGCGGGCGGCGGCCTGGGCGGCGGCCTGGGCGGGGGGCTCGGCGGCGGCGGCGGCAGGAAGGGGTCGGGCCCCTCCGCCTTCCGCCTGACGGAGAAGTTCGTGCTGCTCCTGGTGTTCAGCGCCTTCATCACGCTCTGCTTCGGGGCGATCTTCTTCCTGCCCGACTCCTCCAAGCTGCTCAGCGGGGTCCTGTTCCACTCCAGCCCCGCCCTGCAGTCGCCCGCCGAGCACAAGCCCGGGCCCGGGGCGCGCGCCGAGGACCCGGCCGAAGGGCGAGCCCGGCGCGGCGAGGAGGGCGCGCCCGGGGACCCCGCCGCCGCCCTGGAGGACAACTTGGCCAGGATCCGCGAAAACCACGAGCGGGCTCTCAGGGAAGCCAAGGAGACGCTGCAGAAGCTGCCCGAGGAGATCCAGAGAGACATCCTGCTGGAGAAGGAGAAGGTGGCCCAGGACCAGCTGCGTGACAAGGCGGCGTACCGGGGGCTGCCCCCGGTGCGTTTCGTGCCGCCCATCGGGACGGTGGACCGGGAGCCGGCCGATGCCTCCGTCCGAGAGAAGAGGGCAAAGATCAAAGAGGTGAGTGCTCGGTGCTAGAAATTCCTCCCAACCCGCCGTGTTTTGCAGGGAGAAACGACAAACCTCCGAAACTATTCATACTGTAATATTACAGTCTCGGGGGGCATGGATGGAGGTTTACTACCTCCACCAGGTGTGGTGCCAAAGACTCTTTCATTTCCCCTTTTTTCAGTAGCGTAATAGATGTGGCCAGTTACCATCCGAGGTTGAATTCCGTTGCTTCTAACTTGCATGCTCCGGTGAGCGCAGGCCACACGAGGGAGGCATTAAATGCATGGGCAAGTGGTGTGCAAAACCTCTTTTTTTCCCATTGGTTGATACTGTTAATTGTCTCTGAGAACAGCGGCATTGAAGTTCCCAAACAGTCCCCAGTAAGACTTGGACGTGGCTTTGGAATGAAGCCAATGTAAACACTAAGCATCAATCACACATGATAAAAAGATTCTAACAGCAAGCCAGCACACCCCAGCGTTCAGGCATGTGGCCCCAGCCTGCCAGGTGGCATCCTGTGTGTGTGTGTACTTTCAGACGATCAAAGTGAAACTTGAGAACTTGCTACCATGGGCGGGGGGCGGGTGGCACACTGTGTTTAACTTTTTAAAAAATGAAAAATTGAAAAAGCCAAACCTACTGGCTGTTGCATTTCTGGTGTCGTCAGAAAAAGAAGTATTTCATGTGATGCAACAGGTTTGCCTCTACGGCAGCACAATGATGACAGACTTAATCTAGGACAAACATGGACTTCGATAAGTCTTTCATAATTTCCTTCTCGTTATTTTCACTTAGAACTTGTAACATGTGGTTAGTTCATGACTGGCTTAAAGCTGAAGGGGACCTTAAAATAATGTTAGACGGTCATTTTAGAGATGAAAGAGCCTGTTATTGATGGAGTCAGGACTTAAAACCTGGACTTCCTCCCTGTCACCTGTGTCACCTGTCGCCAGGCATGTGGACATGCCTCTTTCCACAGCTAGTCTCCCGTGTGAAATTATACCAGCCAGGATTTGTACACAGTCCAAGAGATGTTGGAACCCTATTAAAAAACATTTCTCCTCACCTCTTGATTCAGGTTGCTGAAACACATTATGAAGGGAAGTCATGTTTTTGTCATTTTAAAGAATTTCAGATTCTCTGAATATGCATTTGGCGGTTTGACATTGGGTAGGTAACCAGGAGCAAAAGCTCCCTGGCCCTCCCATTTTCAGACAGGAAAGAGAATTCTGAGGAGGTGAATTGGTATTCAGCTTGAGTGGCTACAGAATGGAATACGCTCGATTGTCATAGGATTTGTGACTTTACTATGAGACCAGATGAATTTGGCTAAGCTGTGCTGGAGCAAGTTAAAGTGGATTTAAGTCCCTGTTAGTCTCCCTGGGTAGCATGCCTTCATCCCCCCTGTGCAGACAGCTTCCTTCCACAGCCCTTCAGCTTTTCTGCTTGGAGACCCTTCCTCGGGCGTAGAGGCCCCCTAGACTTGCAGGAATGGATTTTCACTCACTCCCCCTGACAGCTTTGGTCCAGCAGTTTGCCTTCCCCGGGAAGGGCTACAGAACGAGGAAGGCGGAAAAAGCTCTACTTCTCACCAGCCATCTCCCTCCCCTCTTCATCCCCAGCCTCCTTAAAAATATCCCACCAAACCCATAGGTAAATTCACCCTAAATCTGTATCTGCTTATATTTTCCTTACGTTTGAAGCATTGTAATTGACATGTCTCGTGCTTCTAATTTCCCGTGAGCTGCCAGTTAGTGGAATTCATTGTTGTCCAAGGAAATTATTTTAAATATTAAAGATGTATGGATGTTAAAAAGCTATTGGTCCTGACCAATAGTGATTCAAAGTGCATTTAGAGCAGAAGCAGTGGGACAGTAGCAGTCATATTAGCAGCATGCATATCTGGCCCTATTAGGTTCATGCTATCTGGGTCTCTAAATCAAAAGGTCTTAATTAACCATGGAAAGGGAATTTAGGTTGCCTTCCATGTCCGTATGTTAGCACCTAGATGTTTTGAAATTGCCCCGTCTTGCATAAAGTGGTGGAACTAAATGTGTTCTTTATATTCCATGTTGTGAGAATCCAAAAAAAAAGCCAGCATAATTAGCTTCAGTATTTAGTCAAAGTCTAAAGGGAAGAAATGGATTATGGTTTTTCATCAGATTAGTTCAGGCAGATGTGTTCCTTTGTAAATAAAAATAACAAAGTAACTCATGTTAGTCTAAAACTGGGCTGTAAATGTGCAGTTTCAGGGAGAAAAGAGTGGTGGCCCATTGTGAAGAGGGCACTGGACTTTTAACTTTACACATTTAGATTCCGTTCCAGGTACCGCTATGGACTCCTTGCCTTGAACCAATGGATCTTTGCCTTGGTTTTGATCTTGATCATTCCTATATTTTATTGTTCTCTTTACATACTTAGGTTCTCTATTGCACCTAAATGTGATAATAGTTTTATAGTAAAATTAAAAGATATAGGCAAGTCTAATATTTTAGTCTAATATTGGGGAGTGTAGACTCTAATTTCTGAGCCAAACTTTTATTTGGTTTAAAGACAGCCAATACTATTTTTGTATTGCCAATACAGTTGTGTTACTGGTACTGTGGTAAATTTTTAACAAATTTGCGCCCAGAGAAGACAGTCTGTAATTTCAAATAGGATATTGCCTAGTGCACTCCACAAAAGGTATTATCTGCTTTCCAGTACTTATTTGATGGATGTTCAATCTTGGTGTAAAACTTAAAATTGAAATTAAGACACCCATGCACACACACACACACACACACACGCATGGTAAATTTGTAAATAAATTAACTCTGGAATTTCCCTGAATTTTATAAGACATATATAGTATATGTTTTCATGAGTTTGATCTTTTAAAAATTGTACTCAAGGTGTCCTTAGCTTTAAAAGCGGTATTAGAATAATGAAGCACAGAAGTTAGAAAAATCGTCAATTTCTCAAAAAATTAGGATGGTTTTTTTGGGGATTATGGCTGATTCGCCAGTTGGGGAGTCTATCAGGTAAGGCATCAGGTCCTATCAGCGGTGGGTGGGGTTACTCTTGGCTTCTAAACAGGCTTTAGTTTTTTTATTACAGACCTGTTTATGTAATTATAAGTTTAAAAATATTTTTATTTTGATGGCTGATAGCTGAAATACATTTTTATACCTACACTAGCTTTAGATTGTTCTTGAGTGTATAATTTATGTTAACTACTAACAGTTAACCCTTTTATTAAAGATCAGACATAGGAATAATCTACCTTGGCAGATTAAAACAAAACTTTCATTTTGAAACTTAACTTTCCAATTTACTTGTATGGGTAGTTCTGGTGTGGAGAATGATTTTTGCAAAATAATAAAAGCCACGCTTTGAAGACCTGTCTCTGAAGGAGCTTATTAAATACCCTTGGGTTGTTACGTTGCCTGTTTGCTCTCCCTGCTCTGAAACACACACACATTGAATATAGGCAAATGCAAATTTCCCCACTGATAGGACTGGTCCCAGAATAGGTACCTCATAGAGTGTTGCGGGAGGGCTCTTTCTCTAAAAGGTAGATGAATAAATTTGGATTTCAACAGTGTAAGCACCGGAGTAGACATTGACTATTGAACATTAATATAGGAGAGCAAGAAAAGATTGTTAATAGATAATCAATTATGTTCAGCGTAATTTTTCTGTAAACTGTTGGTAATCTGTCTGAGAGGAGAATTCTGTCTTCTTCTTATCAGGTAACTTTAGATTCATATAAGGAGCTGTAGTTAGGACTTAGAATCTAGCTAAGGGTGTGAAAAGAGGTAAATGCATTTTTGAGTTACTGCATCTGCATTTCTTATGTGAGCTACTAATCTGGAGAAATGTACTCTAGTATTTCACATGTGTAAAGAATGCCTTTGTATGAGATCTGAATTTGTGGGAATTCAGTGGAGAATCTACATATATTTGTATTAAACTATTTCATAATTTATGGGAGTACAAATTCTTTCTTTGAGTGAGTTTAAAAGATGTGCCTCATGGTCAGAGGGAGGGAATACCCACAGGTCTGTGTGAGTGCTGAGGACCAAGTTCACTTCTTAGGTTCCAGAGCACTCACTGCAGTAAAATGAGATTCGCAATAAAGTGAGTTGTAATCTTTTTGCTGGTGGAGGGTCTTGCTTTCAGTTTGGGGGGGAAGCAACATCTGTGAAGTGTAATAAAGCAAAAGGCAATAAAATGAGGTATGCCTGTACATGGGCAGATCAAAACTGCCCTGGAGCCTGCTTCTACCCCATAGGCCAGTAGAGAACCTGTAGCCTTTTAAGTTCTTTATAACCTATACAACCATAGAAACGTATGTGTTTGTCAAAAATGAGTTTTGATTGGTCAAAATAGAAGCAGCCATTCTCTGAGCTCCAGAGATACTATGAAATGCCTTTCTCATGAGTAGACAAAAATGATAAAGGGAGAAACCAGCGTTTGGTAGCTTAAGGAAGAAATTCTTTCTTTGGGGAGACTTAAGTCTTGACTTTTCTTAGCCTAGTGCCTTGCTTAGTATTAAGTAATTGAACTACCTCTAACCGCCCCCCGCCCCAACCCTTCATTCCTAAATCTGTTTAAAGGTCCTTTATACAAACTCTGCAAATTAATTTTTCTGTTACCAACAATATGCCCTAAAAATTATAACTCTGATTTTTAAAAGTAAACATATGCTCTAAATCATGAAGTATTGTATCTGGAGGAGACCTTAGAGATAGCTCAGCTATTCATTTTACAGTAGCGCCACTGATACACAAAGATTGTTCTGGAAGTCATGTTGCCAGTTGGTGTAGAATTGAGTTGAGAATGGAAGCCCCATCCTTGGTGAGTGTTGCTCACTCTCCTATCATAGATCACATCCTAAATAAAATGCCAAATAAGTGTTCATTATTTGCTGACCCTAATGCAGAGTACAAAGCACATACTAGTACAATGTAATTCTTCAGAATTATCAAATTGACCTCATATTCTTGTTATGTTCCCTACAGTAA